ATTTTGCACACGCTAGGTCCTTCTTCTTGCTATTTTGCATACGTTATGCCATAGTTCTTTTTATTTTGCACACGCTAGGCCCTTGTTCTTGCTATTTCGCGAACGCTAGGCCCTTGTTCTTGATTTTTTGCACACGCTAGGCCCTTGCTCTTGCTATTTTGCAGTCGCTAGGCCCTTGTTCTGGCAACTTTGCACACGCCAGGCCCTTGTTCTTGCAATTTTGCACACGCTAGGCCCTTGCTCTTGCTATTTTGCAGTCGCTAGGCCCTTGTTCTCGCAACTTTGCACACGCTAGGCCCTTGTTCTTGCTATTTTGCACACGCTAGGCCCTTGCTTTTGCTATTTTGCACACGCTAGGCCCTTGTTCTTGCAATTTTGCACACGCTAGGACCTTGTTCTTGCTATTTTGCACACGCTAGACCCTTGTTCTTTTTATTTTGCACATGCTAGGCCCTTGTTCTTTTTATTTTGCACACGCTAGGCCCTTGTTCTTGCTATTTTGCACACGCTATGCCCTTGTTCTTTTTAGTTTGCACATGCTAGGCCCTTGTTCTTGCAATTTTGCACACGCTAGGCCCTTGTTCTTGCAATTTTGCACACGCTAGGCCCTTGTTCTTGCTATTTTGCACACGCTAGGCCCTTGTTCTTTTTATTTTGCACACGCTTGGCCCTTGTTTTTTTTATTTTGCACACGCTAGGCCCTTGTTCTTGCTATTTTGCACACGCTATGCCCTTGTTCTTTTTATTTTGCACACGCTAGGCCCTTGTTCTTGCAATTTTGCACATGCTAGACCCTTGTTCTTTTTAGTTTGCACACGCTAGGCCCTTGTTCTTGCTATTTTGCGAATGCTAGGCCCTTGTTCTTGATTTTTTGCACACGCTAGGCCCTTGCTCTTGCTATTTTGCACTCGCTAGGCCCTTGTTCTTGCAATTTTGCACACGCTAGGCCCTTGTTCTTGCTATTTTGCACACGCTAGGCCCTTGTTCTTGCTATTTTGCCAACGCTAGGCCCTAGTTCTTTTTATTTTGCACACGCTAGGCCCTTGTTCTTTTTATTTTGCACTCGCTAGACCCTTGTTCTTGCGATTTTGCACATGCTAGGCCCTTGTTCTTGCAATTCTGCACACTCTAGGCCCTTGTTTTTGCTGTTTTGCACACGCTAGGCCCTTGTTCTTTTTATTTTGCACATGCTAGGCCCTTGTTCTTTTTATTTTGCACACGCTTGGCCCTTGCTCTTGCTATTTTGCACTCGCTAGGCCCTTGTTCTTGCATTTTTGCACACGCTAGGCCCTTGTTCTTGCAATTTTGCACACGCTAGGCCCTTGTTCTTGCTATTTTGCACACGCTAGGCCCTTGTTCTTTTTTTTTTTTGCACACGCAAGTCCCTTGTTCTTTTTATTTTGCACACGCTAGGTCCTTCTTCTTGCTATTTTGCATACGTTATGCCATAGTTCTTTTTATTTTGCACATGCTAGGCCCTTGTTCTTGCAATTTTGCACATGCTAGACCCTTGTTCTTTTTATTTTGCACACGCTAGGCCCTTGTTCTTGCTATTTCGCGAACGCTAGGCCCTTGTTCTTGATTTTTTGCACACGCTAGGCCCTTGCTCTTGCTATTTTGCAGTCGCTAGGCCCTTGTTCTAGCAACTTTGCACACGCTAGGCCCTTGTTCTTGCAATTTTGCACAAGCTAGGCCCTTGTTCTTGCTATTTTGCACACGCTAGGCCCTTGTTCTTTTTATTTTGCACACGCTAGGCCCTTGTTCTTGCTATTTTGCACACGCTATGCCCTTGTTCTTTTTATTTTGCACACGCTAGGCCCTTGTTCTAGCAATTTTGCACATGCTAGACCCTTGATATTTTTAGTTTGCACACGCTAGGCCCTTGTTCTTGCTATTTTGCGAACGCTAGGCCCTTGTTCTTGATTTTTTGTACACGCTAGGCCCTTGCTATTGCTATTTTGCACTCGCTAGGCCCTTGTTCTTGCAATTTTGCACACGCTAGGCCCTTGTTCTTTTAATTTTCCACACGCTAGGCCCTTGTTCTTGCTATTTTGCACACGCTAGGCCCTTGTTCTTTTTATTTTGCACACGCTACGCCCTTGTTCTTTTTATTTTGCACACGCTAGGCCCTTCTTCTTGCTATTTTGCGAATGCTAGGCCCTTGTTTTTGATTTTTTGCACACGCTAGGCTCTTGCTCTTGCAATTTTGCACTCGCTAGGCCCTTGTTCTTGCAATTTTGCACACGCTAGGCCCTTGTTCTTGCAATTTTGCACACGCTAGGCCCTTGTTCTTGCTATTTTGCACACGCTAGGCCCTTGTTCTTTTTTTTTTGCACACGCAAGGCCCTTGTTCTTTTTATTTTGCACACGCTAGGTCCTTCTTCTTGCTATTTTGCATACGTTATGCCATAGTTCTTTTTATTTTGCACATGCTAGGCCCTTGTTCTTGCAATTTTGCACATGCTAGACCCTTGTTCTTTTTATTTTGCACACGCTAGGCCCTTGTTCTTGCTATTTCGCGAACGCTGGGCCCTTGTTCTTGATTTTTTGCACACGCTAGGCCCTTGCTCTTGCTATTTTGCACTCGCTAGGCCCTTAACTGGCAACTTTGCACACGCTAGGCCCTTGTTCTTGCAATTTTGCACACGCTAGGCCCTTGTTCTTTTTATTTTGCACACGCTTGGCCCTTGTTCTTTTTATTTTGCACACGCTAGGCCCTTGTTCTTGCTATTTTGCACACGCTATGCCCCTGTTCTTTTTATTTTGCACACGCTAGGCCCTTGTTCTTGCAATTTTGCACATGCTAGACCCTTGTTCTTTTTAGTTTGCACACGCTAGGCCCTTGTTCTTGCTATTTTGCGAACGCTAGGCCCTTGTTCTTGATTTTTTGTACACGCTAGGCCCTTGCTCTTGCTATTTTGCACTCGCTAGGCCCTTGTTCTTGCAATTTTGCACACGCTAGGCCCTTGTTCTTGCAATTTTGTTCACGCTAGGACCTTGTTCTTGCTATTTTGCACACGCTAGGCCCTTGTTCTTTTTATTTTGCACACGCTAGGCCCTTGCTCTTTTTATTTTGCACAAGCTAAGCCCTTCTTCTTGCTATTTTGCGAATGCTAGGCCCTTGTTCTTGATTTTTTGCACACGCTAGGCCCTTGCTCTTGCTATTTTGCACTCGCTAAGCCCTTGTTCTTGCAATTTTGCACACGCTAGGCCCTTGTTCTTGCAATTTTGCACACGCTAGGCCCTTGTTCTTGCTATTTTGCACACGCTAGGCCCTTGTTTTTTCAATTTTGCACACGCTAGGCCCTTGTTCTTTTTATTTTGCACACGCTATGCCCTTGTTCTTGCTATTTTGCACACGCTATGCCCTTGTTCTTTTTATTTTGCACACGCTAGGACCTTGTTCTTGCAATTTTCCACATGCTAGACCCTTGTTCTTTTTATTTTGCACACGCTAGGCCCTTGTTCTTTCTATTTCGCGAACGCTAGGCTGTTGTTCTTGATTTTTTGCACACGCTAGTCCCTTTCTCTTGCTATTTTTGCACTCGCTAGGCCCTTGTTCTTGCAATTTTGCACACGCTAGGCCCTTGTTCTTGCAATTTTGCACATGCTAGTACCTTGTTCTTTTTATTTTGCACACGCTAGGCCCTTGTTCTTTTTATTTTGCACACGCTAGGCCCTTGTTCTTGCTATTTGCAGACGCTATGCCCTAGTTCTTTTTATTTTGCACACGCTAGGCCCTTGTTCTTGCAATTTTGCACATGCTAGACCCTTGTTCTTTTTATTTTGCACACCCTATGCCGTTGCTTTTGCTATTTCGCGAACGCTAGGCTGTTGTTCTTGATTTTTTGCACACCCTAGGCCCTTGCTCTTGCTATTTTGCACTCGCTAGGCCCTTGTTCTTGCAATTTGCACACGCTAGGCCCTTGTTCCTTCAATTTTGCACACGCGAGGCCCTTGTTCTTTTTTTTTTGCACACGCTAGGCCCTTGTTCTTTTTATTTTGCACATGCTATGCCCTTGTTCTTGCAATTTTGCACATGCTAGGCCCTTGTTCTTTTTAGTTTGCACACGCTAGGCCCTTGTTCTTGCTATTTCGCGAACGCTAGGCCCTTGTTCTTGATTTTTTGCACACGCTAGGCCCTTGCTCCTGCTATTTTGCACTCGCTAGGCCCTTGTTCTTGCAATTTTGCACACGCTAGGCCCTTGTTCTTGTAATTTTGCACACGCTAGACCCTTGGTCTTGCAATTTTGGACATGCTAGGCCCTTGTTCTTGCAATTTTGCACACGCTAGGCCCTTGTTCTTGCTATTTTGCACACGCTAGGCCCTTGTTCTTGCAATTTTGCACATGCTAGACCCTTGTTCTTTTTATTTTGCACACGCTAGGCCCTTGTTCTTGCTATTTCGCGAACGCTAGGCCCTTGTTCTTGATTTTTTGCACACGCTAGGCCCTTGCTCTTGCTATTTTGCACTCGCTAGGCCCTTGTTCTTGCAATTTTGCACACGTTAGGCCCTTGTTCTTTCAATTTTGCACACGCTAGGCCCTTGTTCTTTTTATTCTGCACACGCTATGCCCTTCTTCTTTTTATTTTGCACACGCTAGGCCCTTGTTCTTTTTATTCTGCACACGCTATGCCCTTGTTCTTTTTATTTTGCACACGCTAGGCCCTTGTTCTTTTTATTTTGCACATGCTAGGCCCTTGTTCGTTTTATTTTGCACACGCTATGCCCTTGTTCTTGCTATTTTGCACACGCTATGCCCTTGTTCTATTTTTTTTGCACACGCTAGGCCCTTGTTCTTGCAATTTTCCACATGCTAGACCCTTGTTCTTTTTATTTTGCACATGCTAGGCCCTTGTTCTTGCTATTTCGCGAACGCTAGGCCGTTATTCTTGATTTTTTGCACACGCTAGGCCCTTGCTCTTGCTATTTTGCACTCGCTAGGCCCTTGTTCTTGCAATTATGCACACGCTAGGCCCCTGTTCTTGCAATTTTGCATATGCTAGGCCCTTGTTCTTTTTATTTTGCACACGCTAGGCCATTCTCCCGCTTTCCATCACCCCGCCCCATTCTCCCGCTTTCCATCACCCCGCCCCATTCTCCCTCTTTCCATCATCCCGCCCCATTCTCCCTTCTTCCATCACCCCGCCCCATTCTTTCGCTTCCCATCGTCCCGCCCCATTCCCCCGCTTTCCATCACCCCTCCCCATTCTCCCTCCTTCCATCACCCCACCCCATTCTCTCGCTTTCCATCACCCCGCCCCATTCTCCCGCTTTCCATCACCCCGCCCCATTTTCCCGCTTTCCATCACTCCGCCCCATTATCCCTCCTTCCATCACCCCGCCCCATTCTCCCTCCTTCCATCACCCCGCCCCATTCTCCTGCTTTCCATCACCCCGCCTCATTCACCCGCTTCCCATAACCCCACCCCATTCTCCCGCTTTCCATCACCCCGCCACATTCTCCCACTTTCCATCACCCCGCCCCCTTCTCTCTCCTTCGATCACCCCGCCCCATTCTCCCTCCTTCCATCACCCCGCCCCATTCTCCCGCTTTCCATCAGCCCGCCCCATTCTCCCGCTTTCCATCACCCCTCCCCTTTCTCCCGCTTTCCATCTCCCCGCCCCATTCTCCCGCTTTCCATCACCCCGCCCCATTCTCCCGCTTTCTATCACCCCGCCCCATTCTTCCGCTTCCCATCATCTTGCCCCATTCCCCCGCTTTCCATCACCCCTCCCCATTCTCCCTCCTTCAATCACCCCGCCCCATTCTCTCGCTTTCCATCACCCCGCCCCATTCTCCCGCTTTCCATCACGCCGCCCCATTCTCCCGCTTTCCATCACCCCGCCCCATTCTCCCTCCTTCCATCACCCCGCCCCATTCTCCCGCTTTCCATCACCCCACCCCATTCTCCCTCCTTCCATCACCCCGCCCCATTCTCCCTCATTCCATCACCCCGCCCCATTCTCCCGCTTTCCATCACCCAGCCCCATTCTCCCGCTTCCCATAACCCCACCCCATTCTCCCACTTTCCATCACCCCGCCACATTTTCCCACTTTCCATCACCCCGCCCCCTTCTCTCTCCTTCCATCACCCCGCCCCATTCTCCCTCCTTCCATCACCCCGCCCCATTCTCCCGCTTTCCATCAGCCCGCCCCATTCTTCCGCTTTCCATCATCCCGCCCCTTTCTCCCGCTTTCCATCTCCCCGCCCCATTCTCGCGCTTTCCATCACCCCGCCCCATTCTCCCGCTTTCCATCACCCCGCCCCATTCTTCCGCTTCCCATCATCCCGCCCCATTCCACCGCTTTCCATCACCCCTCCCCATTCTCCCTCCTTCCATCACCCCGTCCCATTCTTCCGCTTTCCATCACCCGCCCCATTCTCCCGCTTTCCATCACCTCGCCCCATTCTCCCGCTTTCCATCACCCCGCCCCATTCTTCTGCTTTCCATCACCCCGCCCCATTCTCCCGCTTTCCATCACCCCGCCCCATTCTCCCTCCTTCTATCACCCCGCCCCATTCTCCCGCTTTCCACCACCCCGCCCCATTCTCCCGATTTCCATCACCCCGCCCCATTCTCCCGCTTTCCATCATCCCGCCCCATTCTCCCTCCTTCCAGCACCCCGCCCCATTCTCCCGCTTTCCATCACTCCGCCCCATTCTCCCTCCTTCCATCACCCCGCCCCATTCTCCCTCCTTCCATCACCCCGCCCCATTCTCCCACTTTCCATCACCCCACCCCAATCTCCTGCTTCCCATAACCCCACCCCATTCTCCCGTTTTCCATCTCCCCGCCCCATTCTCCCGCTTTCCATCACCCCGCCCCATTCTCCCGCTTTCCATCACCCTGCCCCATTCTTCCGCTTCCCATCATCCCGCCCCATTCCGCCGCTTTCCATCACCCCTCCCCATTCTCCCTCCTTCCATCACCCTGCCCCATTCTCTCGCTTTCCATCACCCCGCCCCATTCTCCCGCTTTCCATCACGCCGCCCCATTCTCTCCCTCTTTCCATCAGCCCGCCCCATTCTCCCTCCTTCCATCACCCCGCCCCATTGTCCCGCTTTCCATCACCCCGCCCCATTCTCCTTTCTTCCATCACCCCGCCCCATTCTCCCTCATTCCATTACCACGCCCCATTCTCCCGCTTTCCATCACCCCGCCCCATTCTCCCGCTTCCCATAACCCCACCCCATTCCCCCGCTTTCCATCACCCCGCCCCCTTCTCTCTCCTTCCATCACCCCGCCCCCTTCTCCTTCCTTCCATCACCCCGCCCCATTCTCCCGCTTTCCATCAGCCCGCCCCATTCTCCCGCTTTCCATCACCCCGCCCCATTCTCCCGCTTTCCATCACCCCGCCCCATTCTCCCACTTTCCATCACCCCGCCCCATTCTCCCGCTTTCCATCACCCCGCCCCATTCTACCGCTTCCCATCATCCTGCCCCATTCCACCGCTTTCCATCACCCCTCCCTATTCTCCCTCCTTCCATCACCCCGCCCCATTCTCCCGCTTTCCATCACCCCGCCCCATTCTCCCTCCTTCCATCACCCCGCCCCATTCTCCCTCCTTCCATCATCCCGCCCCATTCTCCCGCTTTCCATCACCCCGCCCCATTCTCCCGCTTCCCATAACCCCACCCCATTCTCCCGCTTTCCATCACCCCGCCACATTCTCCCGCTTTCTATCACCCCGCCCCATTCTCCCTCCTTCCATCACCCCGCCCCATTCTCCCGCTTTCCATCACCCCGCCCCATTCTCCCGATTTCCATCACCCCGCCCCATTCTCCCGCTTTCCATCACCCCGCCCCATTCTCCCGCTTTCCATCACCCCGCCCCATTCTCCCGCTTTCCATCATCCCGCCCCATTCTCCCTCCTTCCATCACCCCGCCCCATTCTTCCGCTTCCCATCATCCCGCCCCATTCTCCCGCTTTCCATCACCCCGCCCCATTCTCCCTCCTTCCATCACCCCGCCCCATTCTCCTGCTTTCCATCAGCCCGCCCCATTCTCTCGCTTTCCATCACCCCGCCCCTTTCTCCCGCTTTCCATCTCCCCGCCCCATTCTCCCGCTTTCCATCACCCCACCCCATTCTCCCGCTTTCCATCACCCCGCCCCATTCTTCCGCTTCCCATCATCCCGCCCCTTTTCCCCGCTTTCCATCACCCCTCCCCATTCTTCCTCCTACCATCACCCCGCCCCATTCTCCCGCTTTCCATCACCCTGCCCCATTCTCCCTCCTTCCATCACCCTGCCCCATTCTCTCGCTTTCCATCACCCCGCCCCATTCTCCCACTTTCCATCACGCCGCCCCATTCTCCCGCTTTCCATCACCCCGCCCCATTCTCCCTCCTTCCATCACCCCGCCCCATTGTCCCGCTTTCCATCACCCCGCCCCATTCTCCTTTCTTCCATCACCTCGCCCCATTCTCCCTCATTCCATTACCACGCCCCATTCTCCCGCTTTCCATCAACCCGCCCCATTCTCCCGCTTCCCATAACCCCAACCCATTCTCCCGCTTTCCATCACCCCGCCACATTTTCCCACTTTCCATCACCCCGCCCCCTTCTCTCTCCTTCCATCACCCCGCCCCCTTCTCCTTCCTTCCATCACCCCGCCCCATTCTCCCGCTTTCCATCAGCCCGCCCCATTCTCCCGCTTTCTATAACCCCGCCCCATTCTCCCGCTTTCCATCACCCCGCCCCATTCTCCCGCTTTCCATCACTCCGCCCCATTCTCCCGCTTTCCATCACCCCGACCCATTCTCCCACTTTCCATCACCCCGCCCCCTTCTCCCTCCTTTCATCACCCTGCCCCATTCTCCCGCCTTCCATCACCCCGCCCCATTCTCCCGCTTTCCATCACCTCGCCCCATTCTCCCGCTTTCCATCACCCCGCCCCATTCTCCCGCTTTCCATCACCCCGCCCCATTCTCCCGCTTTCCATCATCCCGCCCCATTCTCCCGCTTTCCATCATCCCGCCCCATTCTCCCTCCTTCCATCACCCCGCCCCATTCTCCCGCTTTCCATCACTCCGCCCCATTCTCCCTCCTTCCATCACCCCGCCCCATTCTCCCTTCTTCCATCACCCCGCCCCATTCTCCCGCTTTCCATCACCCCGCCCCATTCTCCCGCTTCCCATAATCCCACCCCATTCTCCCACTTTCCATCACCCCGCCACATTCTCCCACTTTCCATCACCCCGCCCCCCTCTCTCTCCTTCCATCACCCCGCCCCATTCTCCCTCCTTCCATCACCCCGCCCCATTCTCCCGCTTTCCATCAGCCCGCCCCATTCTCCCGCTTTCCATCACCCCGCCCCATTCTCCCGCTTTCCATCTCCCCGCCCCATTCTCCCGCTTTCCATCACCCCGCCCCATTCTCCCGCTTTCCATCACCCCGCCCCATGCTTCCGCTTCCCATCATCCCGCCCCATTCCCCCGCTTTCCATCACCCCTCCCCATTCTCCCTCCTTCCATCACCCCACCCCATTCTCTCCCTTTCCATCACCCCGCCCCATTCTCCCGCTTTCCATCGACCCGCCCCATTCTCCCGCTTTCCATCACCCCGCCCCAATCTCCCTCCTTCCATCACCCCGCCCATTCTTCCGCTTTCCATTACCCCGCCCCAATCCCCCTCCTTCCATCACCCGGCCCCATTCTCCCTCATTCCATCACCCCGCCCCATTCTCCCGCTTTCCATCACCACGCCCCATTCTCCCGCTTCCCATAACCCCACCCCATTCTCCCGCTTTCCATCACCCCGCCACATTTTCCCACTTTCCATCACCCCGCCCCCTTCTCTCTCCTTCCATCACCCCGCCCCATTCTCCCTCCTTCCATCACCCCGCCCCATTCTCCCGCTTTCCATCAGCCCGCCCCATTCTCCCGCTTTCCATCACCCCGCCCCTTTCTCCCGCTTTCCATCTCCCCGCCCCATTCTCCCGCTTTCCATCACCCCGCCCCATTCTCCTGCTTTCCATCACCCCGCCCCATTCTTCCGCTTCCCATCACCCTGCCCCATTCCTCCACTTTCCATCACCCCTCCCCATTCTCCCTCCTTCCATCACCCCGCCCCATTCTCCCCCTTTCCATCACCCGCCCCATTCTCCAGCTTACCATCACCCCGCCCCATTCTCCCGCTTTCCATCACCCCGCCCCATTCTCCAGCTTTCCATCACCCCGCCCCATTCTCCCGCTTTCCATCAACCCGCCCCATTCTCCCGCTTTCCATCACCCCGCCCCGTTCTCCTGCTTTCCATCACCCGGCCCCATTCTCCCGCTTTCCATAACCCCGCCCCATTCTCCCGCTTTCCATCACCCCGCCCCATTCTCCTCCTTTCCATCACCCCGCCCCATTCTTCCGCTTTCCATCACCCCGCCCCATTCACCCCGCCCCATTCTCCCTCTTTCCATCAACCCTCCCCATTCTCCCGCTTTTCTTCACCCCGCCCCATTCTCCCTCTTTCCATCACCCCACCCCATTCTTCCGCTTTTCATCACCCTGCCCCATTCTCCCTCTTTTCTTCACCCCGCCCCATTCCCCCTCTTTCCATCAGCCCGCCCCATTCTCCCGCTTTTCTTCACCCCGCCCCATTCTTCCGCTTTTCATCACCCCGCCCCATTCTCCCGCTTTCCATCACCCCGCCCCATTCTCCCGCTTTCCATCACCCCGCCCCATTCTCCCGCTTTCCATCACCCCGCCCCGTTCTCCCGCTTTCCATCACTCCGCCCCATTCTCCCGCTTTCCATCACCCCGCCCTATTCTCAAGCTTTCCATCACCCGGCCCCATTCTCCCGCTTTCCATCACCCCGCCCCATTCTCCCGCTTTCCATCACCCCGCCCCATTCTCCAGCTTTCCATCACCCCGCCCCATTCTCCCGCTTTCCATCACCCCGCCCCATTCTCCCGCTTTCCATCACCCCGCCCCATTCTCCCGCATTCCATCACCCCGCTCCTTTCTCCCTCTTTCCATCACCCCGCCCCATTCTCCCGCTTTCCATCACCCAGCCCCATTCTCCCGCTTTCCATCACCCCACCCCATTCTCCAACTTTCATCACCCCGCCCCATTCTCCCTCTTTTCATCACCCCGCCCCATTCTCCCTCTTTCCACCACCCCGCCCCATTCTCCCCCTTTCCATCACCCCGGCCCATTCTCCCTATTTCCATCACCCCGCTCCATTCTCCCACTTTCCATCACCCCGCCCCATTCCTTCGCTTTCCGTCACCCCGCCCCATTCTCCCGCTTTCCATCACCCCGCCCCATTCTCCCTCTTTCCATCACCCCGCCCCAGTCTCCCTCTTTTCATCACCCCGCCCCATTCTCCCTATTTCCATCACCCTGCCCCATGCTCCCTCTTTCCATCACCCCGCCCCATCCTCCCTATTTCCATCACCCCGCCCCATTCTTCCGCTTTCCATCACCCCGCCCCATTCTCCCGCTTTCCATCAACCCGCCCAATTCTCCCGCTTTCCATCACCCCGCCCCATTCTCCCGCTTTCCATCACCCCACCCCATTCTCCCGCTTTCCATCACCCCGCCCCATTCTCCCGCTTTCCATCACCCCGCCCCATTCTCCCGCTTTCCATCACCCCGCCCCATTCTTCCGCTTTCCATCACCCCGCCCCATTCACCCCGCCCCATTCTCCCTCTTTCCATCAACCCGCCCCATTCTCCCGCTTTTCTTCACCCCGCCCCATTCTCCCTCTTTCCATCACCCCACCCCATTATTCCGTTGTTCATCACCCTGCCCCATTCTCCCTCTTTCCATCACCCCGCCCCATTCCCCCTCTTTCCATCAGCTGGCCCCATTCTCCCGCTTTTCTTCACCCCGCCCCATTCTTCCGCTTTTCATCACCCCGCCCCATTCTCCCGCTTTCCATCACCCCGCCCCATTCTCCCTCTTTCCATCACCCCGCCCCAGTCTCCCTCTTTTTATCACCCCGCCCAATTCTCCCTATTTCCATCACCCTGCCCCATGCTCCCTCTTTCCATCACCCCGCCCCATCCTCCCTGTTTCCATCACCCCGCCCCATTCTTCCGCTTTCCATCACCCCGCCCCATTCTCCAGCTTACCATCACCCCGCCCCATTCTCCCGCTTTCCATCACCCCGCCCCATTCTCCAGCTTTCCATAACCCCGCCCCATTCTCCCGCTTTCCATCAACCCGCCCAATTCTCCCGCGTTCCATCACCCCGCCCCATTCTCCCGCTTTCTATCATCCCGCCCCATTCTCCCGCTTTCCATCACCTCGCCCTATTCTCCCGCTTTCCACCACCCTGCCCCATTCTCCCGCTTTCCATCACCCTGCCCCATTCTCCCGCTTTCCATCACCCCGCCCCATTCTCCCGCTTTCCATCACCCCGCCCCATTCTCCCGCTTTCCATCACCCTCCCCATTTTCAAGCTTTCCATCACCCCGCCCCATTCTCCTGCTTTCCATCACCCCGCCCCATTCTCCCGCTTTCCATCACCTCGCCCCATTCTCCCGCTTTTCATCACCCCGCCCCATTCTCCCGCTTTCCATCACCCCGGCCCATTCTCCCGTTTTCCATCACCCCGCCCCATTCTCCTGCTTTCCATCACCCCGCCCTATTCTCCCGCTTTCCATCACCCCGCCCCATTCTCCCGCTTTCCATCACCCCGTCCCATTCTCCCTCTTTTCATCACCCCGCCCCATTCTCCCTCTTTCCACCACCCCGCCCCATTCTCCCGCCTTCCATCACCCCGGCCCATTCTCCCTATTTCCATCACCCCGCTCCATTCTCCCACTTTCCATCACCCCGCCCCATTCTCCCGCTTTCCGTCACCCCGCCCCAGTCTCCCTCCTTCCATCACCCCGCCCCATTCTCCCTATTTCCATCACCCTGCCCCATGCTCCCTCTTTCCATCACCCCGCCCCATTCTTCCGCTTTCCATCACCCCGCCCCATTCTCCAGCTTACCATTCCCCCGCCCCATTCTCCCGCTTTCCATCACCCCGCCCCATTCTCCCGCTTTCCATCACCCCGCCCCATTCTCCCGCTTTCCATCAACCCGCCCAATTCTCCCGCTTTCCATCACCCCGCCCCATTCTCCCGCTTTCCATCTCCCCGCCCCATTCTCCCGCTTTCCATCACCCCGCCCCATTCTCCCGCTTTCCATCACCCCGCCCCATTCTCCCGCTTTCCATCACCCTGCCCCATTCTTCCGCTTTCCATCACCCCGCCCCATTCACCCCGCCCCATTCTCCCCCTTGCCATCAACCCGCCCCATTCTCCCGCTTTTCTTCACCCCGCCCCATTCTCCCTCTTTCCATCACCCCACCCCATTCTTCCGCTTTTCATCACCCTGCCCCATTCTCCCTCTTTCCTTCACCCCGCCCCATTCCCCCTCTTTCCATCACCCCGACCCATTCTCCCGCTTTCCATCACCCCGCCCCATTCTCCCTCTTTCCATCACCCCGCCCCAGTCTCCCTCTTTCCATCACCCCGCCCCATTCTCCCTATTTCCATCACCCTGCCCCATGCTCCCTCTTTCCATCACCCCGCCCCATTCTTCCGCTTTCCATCACCCCGCCCCATTCTCCAGCTTACCATCACCCCGCCCCATTCTCCCGCTTTCCATCACCCCGCCCCATTCTCCCGCTTTCCATCACCCCGCCCTATTCTCCCGCTTTCCATCAACCCGCCCAATTCTCCCGCTTTCCATCACCCCGCCCCATTCTCCCGCTTTCCATCACCCCACCCCATTCTCCCGCTTTCCATCACCCCGCCCCATTCTCCCGCTTTCCATCACCTTGCCCCATTCTCCCGCTTTCCATCACCCTGCCCCATTCTTCCGCTTTCCATCACCCCGCCCCATTCACCCCGCCCCATTCTCCCTCTTTCCATCAACCCGCCCCATTCTCCCGCTTTTCTTCACCCCGCCCCATTCTCCCTCTTTCCATCACCCCACCCCATTCTTCCGCTTTTCATCACCCTGCCCCATTCTCCCTCTTTCCTTCACCCCGCCCCATTCCCCCTCTTTCCATCAGCCCGCCCCATTCTCCCGCTTTTCTTCACCCCGCCCCATTCTTCCGCTTTTCATCACCCCGCCCCATTCTCCCGCTTTCCATCACCCCGCCTTATTCTCCCGCTTTCCATCACCCCGCCCCATTCTCCCTCTTTCCATCACCCCGCCCCGTTCTCCCGCTTTCCATCACTCCGCCCCATTCTTCCGCTTTTCATCACCCCGCCCCATTCTCCCGCTTTCCATCACCCCGCCCTATTCTCAAGCTTTCCATCACCCGGCCCCATTCTCCCGCTTTCCATCACCCCGCCCCATTCTCCCGCTTTCCATCAACCCGCCCCATTCTCCCGCTTCCCATAACCCCAACCCATTCTCCCGCTTTCCATCACCCCGCCACATTTTCCCACTTTCCATCACCCCGCCCCCTTCTCTCTCCTTCCATCACCCCGCCCCCTTCTCCTTCCTTCCATCACCCCGCCCCATTCTCCCGCTTTCCATCAGCCCGCCCCATTCTCCCGCTTTCTATAACCCCGCCCCATTCTCCCGCTTTCCATCACCCCGCCCCATTCTCCCGCTTTCCATCACTCCGCCCCATTCTCCCGCTTTCCATCACCCCGACCCATTCTCCCACTTTCCATCACCCCGCCCCCTTCTCCCTCCTTTCATCACCCTGCCCCATTCTCCCGCCTTCCATCACCCCGCCCCATTCTCCCGCTTTCCATCACCCCGCCCCATTCTCCCGCTTTCCATCACCCCGCCTCATTCTCCCGCTTTCCATCACCCCGCCCCATTCTCCCGCTTTCCATCATCCCGCCCCATTCTCCCGCTTTCCATCATCCCGCCCCATTCTCCCTCCTTCCATCACCCCGCCCCATTCTCCCGCTTTCCATCACTCCGCCCCATTCTCCCTCCTTCCATCACCCCGCCCCATTCTCCCTTCTTCCATCACCCCGCCCCATTCTCCCGCTTTCCATCACCCCGCCCCATTCTCCCGCTTCCCATAATCCCACCCCATTCTCCCACTTTCCATCACCCCGCCACATTCTCCCACTTTCCATCACCCCGCCCCCCTCTCTCTCCTTCCATCACCCCGCCCCATTCTCCCTCCTTCCATCACCCCGCCCCATTCTCCCGCTTTCCATCAGCCCGCCCCATTCTCCCGCTATCCATCACCCCGCCCCATTCTCCCGCTTTCCATCTCCCCGCCCCATTCTCCCGCTTTCCATCACCCCGCCCCATTCTCCCGCTTTCCATCACCCCGCCCCATGCTTCCGCTTCCCATCATCCCGCCCCATTCCCCCGCTTTCCATCACCCCTCCCCATTCTCCCTCCTTCCATCACCCCACCCCATTCTCTCGCTTTCCATCACCCCGCCCCATTCTCCCGCTTTCCATCACCCCGCCCCATTCTCCCGCTTTCCATCACCCCGCCCCATTCTCCCTCCTTCCATCACCCCGCCCATTCTTCCGCTTTCCATTACCCCGCCCCAATCCCCCTCCTTCCATCACCCGGCCCCATTCTCCCTCATTCCATCACCCCGCCCCATTCTCCCGCTTTCCATCACCACGCCCCATTCTCCCGCTTCCCATAACCCCACCCCATTCTCCCGCTTTCCATCACCCCGCCACATTTTCCCACTTTCCATCACCCCGCCCCCTTCTCTCTCCTTCCATCACCCCGCCCCATTCTCCCTCCTTCCATCACCCCGCCCCATTCTCCCGCTTTCCATCAGCCCGCCCCATTCTCCCGCTTTCCATCACCCCGCCCCTTTCTCCCGCTTTTCATCTCCCCGCCCCATTCTCCCGCTTTCCATCACCCCGCCCCATTCTCCTGCTTTCCATCACCCCGCCCCATTCTTCCGCTTCCCATCACCCTGCCCCATTCCCCCACTTTCCATCACCCCTCCCCATTCTCCCTCCTTCCATCACCCCGCCCCATTCTCCCCCTTTCCATCACCCGCCCCATTCTCCAGCTTACCATCACCCCGCCCCATTCTCCCGCTTTCCATCACCCCGCCCCATTCTCCAGCTTTCCATCACCCCGCCCCATTCTCCCGCTTTCCATCAACCCGCCCCATTCTCCCGCTTTCCATCACCCCGCCCCGTTCTCCTGCTTTCCATCACCCGGCCCCATTCTCCCGCTTTCCATAACCCCGCCCCATTCTCCCGCTTTCCATCACCCCGCCCCATTCTCCTCCTTTCCATCACCCCGCCCCATTCTTCCGCTTTCCATCACCCCACCCCATTCACCCCGCCCCATTCTCCCTCTTTCCATCAACCCGCCCCATTCTCCCGCTTTTCTTCACCCCGCCCCATTCTCCCTCTTTCCATCACCCCACCCCATTCTTCCGCTTTTCATCACCCTGCCCCATTCTCCCTCTTTTCTTCACCCCGCCCCATTCCCCCTCTTTCCATCAGCCCGCCCCATTCTCCCGCTTTTCTTCACCCCGCCCCATTCTTCCGCTTTTCATCACCCCGCCCCATTCTCCCGCTTTCCATCACCCCGCCCCATTCTCCCGCTTTCCATCACCCCGCCCCATTCTCCCGCTTTCCATCACCCCGCCCCGTTCTCCCGCTTTCCATCACTCCGCCCCATTCTCCCGCTTTCCATCACCCCGCCCTATTCTCAAGCTTTCCATCACCCGGCCCCATTCTCCCACTTTCCATCACCCCGCCCCATTCTCCCGCTTTCCATCACCCCGCCCCATTCTCCAGCTTTCCATCACTCCGCCCCATTCTCCCGCTTTCCATCACCCCGCCCCATTCTCCCGCTTTCCATCACCCCGCCCCATTCTCCCGCTTTCCATCACCCCGCTCCTTTCTCCCTCTTTCCATCACCCCGCCCCATTCTCCCGCTTTCCATCACCCAGCCCCATTCTCCCGCTTTCCATCACCCCACCCCATTCTCCAACTTTCATCACCCCGCCCCATTCTCCCTCTTTTCATCACCCCGCCCCATTCTCCCTCTTTCCACCACCCCGCCCCATTCTCCCCCTTTCCATCACCCCGGCCCATTCTCCCTATTTCCATCACCCCGCTCCATTCTCCCACTTTCCATCACCCCGCCCCAATCCCTCGCTTTCCGTCACCCCGCCCCATTCTCCCGCTTTCCATCACCCCGCCCCATTCTCCCTCTTTCCATCACCCCGCCCCAGTCTCCCTCTTTTCATCACCCCGCCCCATTCTCCCTATTTCCATCACCCTGCCCCATGCTCCCTCTTTCCATCACCCCGCCCCATCCTCCCTATTTCCATCACCCCGCCCCATTCTTCCGCTTTCCATCACCCAGCCCCATTCTCCAGCTTACCATCACCCTGCCCCATTCTCCCGCTTTCCATCACCCCGCCCCATTCTCCATCTTTCCATCACCCCGCCCCATTCTCCCGCTTTCCATCAACCCGCCCAAATCTCCCGCTTTCCATCACCCCGCCCCATTCTCCCGCTTTCCATCACCCCACCCCATTCTCCCGCTTTCCATCACCCCGCCCCATTCTCCCGCTTTCCATCACCCCGCCCCATTCTCCCGCTTTCCATCACCCCGCCCCATTCTTCCGCTTTCCATCACCCCGCCCCATTCACCCCGCCCCATTCTCCCTCTTTCCATCAACCCGCCCCATTCTCCCGCTTTTCTTCACCCCGCCCCATTCTCCCTCTTTCCATCACCCCACCCCATTCTTCCGTTGTTCATCACCCTGCCCCATTCTCCCTCTTTCCATCACCCCGCCCCATTCCCCCTCTTTCCATCAGCTCGCCCCATTCTCCCGCTTTTCTTCACCCCGCCCCATTCTTCCGCTTTTCATCACCCCGCCCCATTCTCCCGCTTTCCATCACCCCGCCCCATTCTCCCTCTTTCCATCACCCCGCCCCAGTCTCCCTCTTTTTATCACCCCGCCCAATTCTCCCTATTTCCATCACCCTGCCCCATGCTCCCTCTTTCCATCACCCCGCCCCATCCTCCCTGTTTCCATCACCCCGCCCCATTCTTCCGCTTTCCATCACCCCGCCCCATTCTCCGGCTTACCATCACCCCGCCCCATTCTCCCGCTTTCCATCACCCCGCCCCATTCTCCAGCTTTCCATCACCCCGCCCCATTCTCCCGCTTTCCATCAACCCGCCCAATTCTCCCGCGTTCCATCACCCCGCCCCATTCTCCCGCTTTCTATCATCCCGCCCCATTCTCCCGCTTTCCATCACCTCGCCCTATTCTCCCGCTTTCCACCACCCTGCCCCATTCTCCCGCTTTCCATCACCCTGCCCCATTCTCCCGCTTTCCATCACCCCGCCCCATTCTCCCGCTTTCCATCACCCCGCCCCATTCTCCCGCTTTCCATCACCCTCCCCATTTTCAAGCTTTCCATCACCCCGCCCCATTCTCCTGCTTTCCATCACCCCGCCCCATTCTCCCGCTTTCCATCACCTCGCCCCATTCTCCCGCTTTTCATCACCCCGCCCCATTCTCCCGCTTTCCATCACCCCGGCCCATTCTCCCGTTTTCCATCACCCCGCCCCATTCTCCTGCTTTCCATCACCCCGCCCTATTCTCCCGCTTTCCATCACCCCGCCCCATTCTCCCGCTTTCCATCACCCCGTCCCATTCTCCCTCTTTTCATCACCCCGCCCCATTCTCCCTCTTTCCACCACCCCGCCCCATTCTCCCGCCTTCCATCACCCCGGCCCATTCTCCCTATTTCCATCACCCCGCTCCATTCTCCCACTTTCCATCACCCCGCCCCATTCTCCCGCTTTCCGTCACCCCGCCCCAGTCTCCCTCCTTCCATCACCCCGCCCCATTCTCCCTATTTCCATCACCCTGCCCCATGCTCCCTCTTTCCATCACCCCGCCCCATTCTTCCGCTTTCCATCACCCCGCCCCATTCTCCAGCTTACCATTCCCCCGCCCCATTCTCCCGCTTTCCATCACCCCGCCCCATTCTCCCGCTTTCCATCACCCCGCCCCATTCTCCCGCTTTCCATCAACCCGCCCAATTCTCCCGCTTTCCATCACCCCGCCCCATTCTCCCGCTTTCCATCTCCCCGCCCCATTCTCCCGCTTTCCATCACCCCGCCCCATTCTCCCGCTTTCCATCACCCCGCCCCATTCTCCCGCTTTCCATCACCCTGCCCCATTCTCCGCTTTCCATCACCCCGCCCCATTCACCCCGCCCCATTCTCCCCCTTGCCATCAACCCGCCCCATTCTCCCGCTTTTCTTCACCCCGCCCCATTCTCCCTCTTTCCATCACCCCACCCCATTCTTCCGCTTTTCATCACCCTGCCCCATTCTCCCTCTTTCCTTCACCCCGCCCCATTCCCCCTCTTTCCATCACCCCGACCCATTCTCCCGCTTTCCATCACCCCGCCCCATTCTCCCTCTTTCCATCACCCCGCCCCAGTCTCCCTCTTTCCATCACCCCGCCCCATTCTCCCTATTTCCATCACCCTGCCCCATGCTCCCTCTTTCCATCACCCCGCCCCATTCTTCCGCTTTCCATCACCCCGCCCCATTCTCCAGCTTACCACCACCCCGCCCCATTCTCCCGCTTTCCATCACCCCGCCCCATTCTCCCGCTTTCCATCACCCCGCCCTATTCTCCCGCTTTCCATCAACCCGCCCAATTCTCCCGCTTTCCATCACCCCGCCCCATTCTCCCGCTTTCGATCACCCCACCCCATTCTCCCGCTTTCCATCACCCCGCCCCATTCTCCCGCTTTCCATCACCTTGCCCCATTCTCCCGCTTTCCATCACCCTGCCCCATTCTTCCGCTTTCCATCACCCCGCCCCATTCACCCCGCCCCATTCTCCCTCTTTCCATCAACCCGCCCCATTCTCCCGCTTTTCTTCACCCCGCCCCATTCTCCCTCTTTCCATCACCCCACCCCATTCTTCCGCTTTTCATCACCCTGCCCCATTCTCCCTCTTTCCTTCACCCCGCCCCATTCCCCCTCTTTCCATCAGCCCGCCCCATTCTCCCGCTTTTCTTCACCCCGCCCCATTCTTCCGCTTTTCATCACCCCGCCCCATTCTCCCGCTTTCCATCACCCCGCCTTATTCTCCCGCTTTCCATCACCCCGCCCCATTCTCCCTCTTTCCATCACCCCGCCCCGTTCTCCCGCTTTCCATCACTCCGCCCCATTCTTCCGCTTTTCATCACCCCGCCCCATTCTCCCGCTTTCCATCACCCCGCCCTATTCTCAAGCTTTCCATCACCCGGCCCCATTCTCCCGCTTTCCATCACCCCGCCCCATTCTCCCGCTTTCCATCACCCCGCCACATTCTCAAGCTTTCCATCACCCCGCCCCATTCTCCCGCTTTCCATCACCCCGCCCCATTCTCCCGCTTTCCATCACCCCGCCCCATTCTCCCGCTTTCCATCACCCCGCCCCATTCTCCCTCTTTCCATCACCCAGCCCCATTCTCCCGCTTTCCATCACCCCGCCCCATTGTCCCGCTTTCCATCACCCCACCCCATTCTCCCGTTTTCCATCACCCCGCCCCATTCTCCCGCTTTCCATCACCCCGCCCCTTTCTCCCTCTTTTCATCACCCCGCCCCATTCTCCCTCTTTCCATCACCCCACCCCATCCTTCCTCTTTCCATCGCCCCGCCCCATTCTTTCGCTTTTCATCACCCCGTCCCATTCTCCCTCTTTCCATCACCCCGCCCCGTTCCCCCTTTTTCCATCAGCCTGCCCCATTCTCCCGCTCTCCATCACCCCGCCCTGTTCTCCCTATTTCTATCACCCCACCCCATTCTCCCGCTTTCCATCACCCCGCTTTCCATCACCCCGCCCCATTCTCCCGCTTTCCATCACCCCGCCCCATTCTCCCTCTTCCCATCACCCCGCCCCATTCTCCCTCTTTCCATCACCCCGCCCTATTCTCCCTCTTCCCATCACCCCGGCCCATTCTCCCGCTTTCCATTACCCCCCCCCATTCTCCCGCTTTCCATCACCCCGCCCCATTCTTCCTCTTTCCATCATCCCGCCCCATTCTCACGCTTTCCATCATCCCGCCCCATTCTCCCGCTTTCCATCACCCCGCCCCTTTCTTCCTCTTTCCATCACCCCGCCCCATTCTCCCGCTTTCCATCTCCGCGCCCCATTCTCCCGCTTTCCATCACCCCGCCCCATTCTCCTGCTTTCCATCACCCCGCCCCATTCTCCCGCTTTCCATCACCCCGCGCCATTTTCCCTCTTTCCATCACCCCGCCCCATTCTCCCGCTTTCCATCACCCCGCCCCATTCTCCCTCTTTCCATCACCCCGCCCCATTCTCCCTCTTTCCATCACCCTGCCCCATTCTCCCGCTTTCCATCACCCCGCGCCATTTTCCCTCTTTCCATCACCCCGCCCCATTCTCCCGCTTTCCATCACCCCGCCCCATTCTCCCGCTCTCCATCACCCCGCCCTATTCTCCCTATTGTTATCATCCCACCCCATTCTCCCGCTTTCCATCACCCCGCTTTCCATCACCCCGCCCCATTCTCCCGCTTTCCATCACCCCGCCCCATTCTCCCTCTTCCCATCACCCCGCCCCATTCTCCCTCTTTCCATCACCCCGCCCTATTCTCCCTCTTCCCATCACCCCGGCCCATTCTCCCGCTTTCCATTACCCCGCCCCATTCTCCAGCTTTCCATCACCCCGCCCCATTCTCCCTCTTTCCATCACCCCGCCCCATTCTCACGCTTTCCATCATCCCGCCCCATTCTCCCGCTTTCCATCAACCCGCCCCTTTCTTCCTCTTTCCATCACCCCGCCCCATTCTCCCGCTTTCCATCTCCGCGCCCCATTCTCCCGCTTTCCATCACCCCGCCCCATTCTCCTGCTTTCCATCACCCCGCCCTATTCTTCCGCTTTCCATCACCTTGCCCCATTCTCCCTCTTTCCATCTCCCCGCCCCATTCTCCCTCTCTCCATCACCCAGCCCCATTCTCCCGCTTTCCATCATCCCGCCCCATTCTCCCGCTTTCAATCACCCCGCCCCATTCTTCCGCTTTCCATCACCCCGCCCCATTCTCCCTCTTTCCATCACCCCGCCCCATTCTCCCGCTTTCCATCACCCCGCCCCATTCTCCCGCTTTCCATCACCCCGCCCCATTCTCCCTCTTTCCATCACCCCGCCCCATTCTCCCGCTTTCCATCACCCCGCGCCATTTTCCCTCTTTCCATCACCCCGCCCCATTCTCCCGCTTTCCATCACCCCGCCCCATTCTCTCGCTTTCCATCATCCCGCTCCATTGTCCCGCTTTCCATCACCCCGCCCAATTCTCCCTCTTTCCATCACCCCTCCCCATTCTCCCTTTTTCCATCACTCCGCCCCATTCTCCCGCTTTCCATCACCCCGCCCCATTCTCCCTCTTTCCATCACCCCGCCCCACTCTCCCGCCTTCCATCAACCCGCCCAATTCTCCCTCTTTCCATCACCCCGCCCCATTCTCCCTCTTTCCATCACCCCGCCCCATTCTCCCGCTTTCCATCACCCCGCCCCATTCTCCTTCTTTCCATCACCCCGCCCCATTCTCCCTCTTTCCATCACCCCGCCCCATTCTCCCACTTTCCATCACGCCGTGCCATTTTCCCTCTTTCCATCACCCCGCCCCATTCTCCCGCTTTCCATCACTCCGCCCCATTCTCTCGCTTTCCATCATCCCGCTCCATTGTTCCGCTTTCCATCACCCCGCCCAATTCTCACTCTTTCCATCACCCCTCCCCATTCTCCCCTTTTCCATCACCCCGCCCCATTCTCACGCTTTCCATCACCCCGCCCCATTCTCCCTCTTTCCATCACCCCGCCCCATTCTCCCTCTTTCCATCAACCCGCCCAATTCTCCCGCTTTCCATCACCCCGCGTGTTCTTTTTATTTTGCACACGCTAGGCCCTTGTTCTTGCTATTTGCAGACGCTATGCCCTAGTTCTTTTTATTTTGCACACGCTAGGCCCTTGTTCTTGCAATTTTGCACATGCTAGACCCTTGTTCTTTTTAGTTTGCACACACTAGGCCCTTGCTCTTGCTATTTCGTGAACGCTAGGCCCTTTTTCTTGATTTTTTGCACACCCTAGGCCCTTGCTCTTGCTATTTTGCACTCGCTAGGCCCTTGTTCTTGCAATTTCGCACACGCTAGGCCCTTGTTCTTTCAATTTTGCACATGCTAGGCCCTTGTTCTTTTTTTTTTGCACACGCTAGGCCCTTGTTCTTTTTATTTTGCACACTCTAGGCCCTTGTTCTTGCTATTTTGGACACGCTATGCCCTTGTTCTTTTTTTTTTTGCACACGGTAGGCCCTTGTTCTTGCAATTTTGCACATGCTAGACCCTTGTTCTTTTTATTTTGCACACGCTAGGCCCTTGTTCTTGCTATTTCGCGAACGCTAGGCCCTTGTTCTTCATTTTTTGCACACGCTAGGCCCTTGCTCCTGCTATTTAACACTCCCTAGGCCCTTGTTCTTGCAATTTTGCACACGGTAGGCCCTTGTTCTTGTAATTTTGCACACGCTAGACCCTTGTTCTTGCAATTTTGCACACGCTAGGCCCTTGTTCTTTTTATTTTGCACACGCTAGGCCCTTGTTCTTGCTATTTTGCACACGCTATGCCCTTGATTTTTTTATTTTGCACACGCTAGGCCCTTGTTCTGGCAATTTTGCACATGCTAGACCCTTGTTCTTTTTATTTTGCACACGCTAGGCCCTTGCTGTTGCTATTTTGCGAACGCTAGGCCCTTGTTCTTGATTTTTTGCACACGCTAGGCCCTTGCTCTTGCTATTTTGCACTCGCTAGGCCCTTGTTCTTGCAATTTTGCACACGCTAGGCCCTTGTTCTTGCAATTTTGCACACGCTAGGCCCTTGTTCTTGCTATTTTGCAGACGCTAGGCCCTTGTTCTTTTTATTTTGCACACGCTAGGCCCTTGTTCTTTTTTTTTTGCACACGCTAGGCCCTTCTTCTTGCTATTTTGCATACGCTATGCCCTAGTTCTTTTTATTTTGCACACGCTAGGCCCTTGTTCTTGCAATTTTGCACATGCTAGACCCTTGTTTTTTATTTTTTGCACACACTAGGCCCTTGCTCTTGCTATTTCGTGAACGCTAGGCCCTTGTTCTTGATTTTTTGCACACCCTAGGCCCTTGCTCTTGCTATTTTGCACTCGCTAGGCCCTTGTTCTTGCAATTTCGCACACGCTAGGCCCTTGTTCTTTCAAATTTGCACACGCTAGGCCCTTGTTCTTTTTTTTTTTTACACGCTAGGCCCTTGTTCTTTTTATTTTGCACACTCTAGGCCCTTGTTCTTGCTATTTTGGACACGCTATGCCCTTGATTTTTTTATTTTGCACACGCTAGGCCCTTGTTCTTGCAATTTTGCACATGCTAGACCCTTGTTCTTTTTATTTTGCACACGCTAGGCCCTTGCTCTTGCTATTTTGCGAACGCTAGGCCCTTGTTCTTGATTTTTTGCACATGCTAGGCCCTTGCTCTTGCTATTTTGCACTCGCTAGGCCCTTGTTCTTGCAATTTTGCACACGCTAGGCCCTTGTTCTTGCAATTTTGCACACGCTAGGCCCTTGTTCTTGCTATTTTGCACACGCTAGGCCCTTGTTATTTTTATTTTGCACACGCTAGGCCCTTGTTCTTTTTATTTTGCACACGCTAGGCCCTTCTTCTTGCTATTTTGCATACGCTATGCCCTAGTTCTTTTTATTTTGCATACGCTAGGCCCTTGTTCTTGCAATTTTGCACATGCTAGACCCTTGTTTTTTATTTTTTGCACACACTAGGCCCTTGTTCTTGCTATTTCGTGAACGCTAGGCCCTTGTTCTTGATTTTTTGCACACGCTAGGCCCTTGTTCTTTTTATTTTGCACACGCTATGCCCTTGTTATTGCTATTTTGCACACGCTATGCCCTTGTTCTTTTTATTTTGCACACGCTAGGCCCTTGTTCTTGCAATTTTCCACATGCTAGACCCTTGTTCTTTTTATTTTGCACACGCTAGGCCCTTGTTCTTGCTATTTCGCGAACCCTGGGCCGTTGTTCTTGATTTTTTGCACATGCTAGGCCCTTGCTCTTGCTATTTTGCACTCGCTAGGCCCTTGTTCTTGCAATTTTGCACATCAGGCCCCTGTTCTTGCAATTTTGCACATGCTAGGCCCTTTTTCTTTTTATTTTGCACACGCTAGTCCCTTGTTCTTTTTATTTTGCACACGCTAGGCCCTTGTTCTTGCTATTTGCAGACGCTATGCCCTAGTTCTTTTTATTTTGCACACGCTAGGCCCTTGTTCTTGCAATTTTGCACATGCTAGACCCTTGTTCTTTTTATTTTGCACACACTAGGCCCTTGCTCTTGCTATTTCGTGAATGCTAGGCCCTTGTTCTTGATTTTTTGCACACCCTAGGCCCTTGCTCTTGCTATTTTGCACTCGCTAGGCCCTTGTTCTTGCAATTTTTCACACGCTAGGCCCTTGTTTTTTCAATTTTGCACATGCTAGGCCCTTGTTCTTTTTTTTTTGCACATGCTAGGCCCTTGTTCTTTTAATTTTGCACACGCTAGGCCCTTGTTCTTGCAATTTCGTACATGCTAGACCCTTGTTCTTTTTATTTTGCACACGCTAGGCCCTTGTTCTTGCTATTTCGCGAACGCTAGGCCCTTGTTCTTCATTTTTTGCACATGCTAGGCCCTAGCTCCTGCTATTTTGCACTCGCTAGGCCCTTGTTCTTGTAATTTTGCACACGCTAGACCCTTGTTCTTGAAATTTTGCACACGCTAGGCCCTTGTTCTTTTTATTTTGCACACGCTAGGCCTTTGTTCTTGCTATTTTGCACACGTTATGCCCTTAATTTTTTTATTTTGCACTCCCTAGGCCCTTGTTCTTGCAATTTTGCACTCGCCAGGCCCTTGCTCTTGCAATTTTGCACTCGCTAGGCCCTTGTTCTTGCAATTCTGCACACGCTAGGCCCTTGTTCTTTTTATTTTGCAGACGCTAGGCCCTTGTTCTTTTTATTTTGCACACGCTAGGCCCTTCTTCTTGCTATTTTGCGAATGCTAGGCCCTTGTTCTTGATTTTTTGCACACACTAGGCCCTTGCTCTTGCTATTTTGCACTCGCTAGGCCCTTGTTCTTGCAATTTTGCACACGCTAGGCCCTTGTTCTTGCAATTTTGCACACGCTAGGCCCTTGTTCTTTTTACTTTGCACACGCTAGGCCCTTGTTCTTTTTTTTTTGCACACGCTAGGCCCTTGTTCTTGCTATTTTGCACATGCTAGACCCTTGTTCTTTTTATTTTGCACACGCTAGGCCCTTGTTCTTGCTATTTCGCGAACGCTAGGCCCTTGTTCTTCATTTTTTGCACATGCTAGGCCCTAGCTCCTGCTATTTTGCACTCGCTAGGCCCTTGTTCTTGCAATTTTACACACGCTAGGCCCTTGTTCTTGTAATTTTGCACACGCTAGACCCTTGTTCTTGAAATTTTGCACACGCTAGGCCCTTGTTCTTTTTATTTTGCACACGCTAGGCCCTTGTTCTTGCTATTTTGCACACGCTATGCATTTGTTTTTTTTATTTTGCACACGCTAGGCCCTTGTTCTTGCAAGTTTGCACATGCTAGACCCTTGTTCTTTTTAATTTGCACACGCTAGGCCCTAGACCCTTGTTCTTTTTATTTTGCACACACTAGGCCCTTGCTCTTGCTATTTTGCACACGCTAGGCCCTTGTTCTTGATTTTTTGCACACGCTAGGCCCTTGCTCTTGCTATTTTGCACTCGCTAGGCCCTTGTTCTTGCAATTTTGCACACGCTAGGCCCTTGTTCTTTCAATGTTGCACACGCTAGGCCCTTGTTCTTTTTATTTTGCACACGCTAGGCCCTTGTTCTTTTATTTTGCACACACTAGGCCCTTGTTCTTGCTATTTTGCACACGCTATGCCCTTGTTCTTTTTATTTTGCACACGCTAGGCCCTTGTTCTTGCTATTTTGCGAACCCTAGGCCCTTGTTCTTGATTTTTTGCACACGCTAGGCCCTTGCTCCAGCTATTTTGCACTCGCTAGGCCCTTGTTCTTGCAATTTTGCACACGCTAGGCCCTTGTTCTTGCAATTTTGCACACGCTAGGCCCTTGGTCTTTTTACTTTGCACACGCTAGGCCCTTGTTCTTTTTATTTTGCACACGCTAGGCCCTTGTTCTTGCTATTTTGCACACGCTATGCATTTGTTTTTTTTATTTTGCACACGCTAGGCCCTTGTTCTTGCAAGTTTGCACATGCTAGACCCTTGTTCTTTTTATTTTGCACACGCTAGGCCCTTGTTCTTACAATTTTGCACATGCTAGACCCTTGTTCTTTTTACTTTGCACACACTAGGCCCTTGCTCTTGCTATTTGGCGAACGCTAGGCCCTTGTTCTTGATTTTTTGCACACGCTAGGCCCTTGCTCTTGCTATTTTGCACTCGCTAGGCCCTTGTTCTTGCAATTTTGCACACGCTAGGCCCTTGTTCTTTCAATTTTGCACACGCTAGGCCCTTGTTCTTTTTATTTTGCACACGCTAGGCCCTTCTTCTTTTTATTTTGCACACGCTAGGCCCTTGTTCTTGCTATTTTGCACACGCTATGCTCTTGCCCTTTTTTTTTTTTACACGCTAGGCCCTTGTTCTTGCAATTTTGCACATGCTAGACCCTTGTTCTTTTTATTTTGCACACGCTAGGCCCTTGTTCTTGCTATTTCGCGAACGCTAGGCCCTTGTTCTTGATTTTTTGCACACGCTAGGCCCTTGCTCTTGCTATTTTGCACTCGCTAGGCCCTTGTTCTTGCAATTTTGCACACGCTAGGCCCTTGTTCTTTCAATTTTGCACACGCTAGGCCCTTGTTCTTGCAATTTTGCACACACTAGGCCTTTGTTCTTGCAATTTTGCACACGCTAGGCCCTTGTTCTT